GTCTTCTGGGCCTCTGGAAGACCACGGAGGTATTTTCTCTTTTAAAAGAAAAACAAGGAAAGGTTAGCTGGTTAGCTCAGTTGGTTAGAGTGCAGTGTTTATACCAAGGTCAAGGGTTCGTATCCCCTTACCAGCCAGCAATAAAGGGGAAAAAAGGGGGGGGGGGGGGAAAGGGGGACATTAAGGAAGCCTAGTATTCTAATATTTTGCACCCACTGGGGGACTAAAATAAAAGCTATCAAAAATACCCAGGAGGTTACATTTTTAAATTTATAGTGCAAATTACTAAAAATCTTAATAATAAGCCTGTCTAGATATAATACAAACCTAGATTTAAGAAAATACAAAGAGCTCAATGCACTGACATTTTCTGCCATTGGTCATTTCTTAATTTAGGTTTTCTTTCCTACTCTCAGAGCACATTTACTTTCAATTACATACTGACTACAAAATGTCTATATAGTCTACAAAGCCTTAAAAAAAAAAAAAAACATGGGGCCGGCCCGGTGGCGCACTGCTACAGTGTGCCGCTTGGGAAGCGCGGCGCCGCTCCCGCCGAGGGTTCAGATCCCACATATAGACTGGCCGCTCACTGGCTGAGCGAGGAGCAGGGGCAACACCGAGGGTTGCGATCCCATTGCTGGTCCCGGTCCGGTACGGGCGCAACACTGAGGGTTGCGATCCGTTGCCGGTCACGACAAAAAGACCAAAAAAAAAAAAAAACACCAAAGACTTGACCTCTTGGATTATCTTGGCTTCCTGTCAAGCTACTTACATTTTCCTATGGTCTACACTAACTGACAGTCACTCCTAACAGTGCTACTCAGAGCATGACCAGCAGACCAGCAGCATCAGCACTGGCGGGAAGCTTGCTGGAAATAGGACCCAGGCCCTGCTCCAGCCCTACTGCATCAAATTCTTGAAGTAAGGGCCCCGGAATCTGCATCTAGATCAACTCCAGATCACTGCCTGACACTGCTTAAGCTGCCAGACACTGGCCACACAGAGGAATCACTGGGACTTTAGAGAAATGCAATGTCCAGGCCCAGTAGCCTCAGTATCTGAGGAGAATGCCCAGGCATGGCTATTTTGTGAAAGCTCTCCCAGGAGATTCTGATGTGCAACTAGTGCTGAGAAGCAATGAATTCGAGCCACCTCCTAAAAGATGACAAAGGAGAAAAAAATACTTGAACACATCCCACAGGCACACTGCTCTTCCTTAAGAGCCCGGATCTGAAGAAGAGCACTGAGGCCACCTCACCTGCCATTTTTGTTTGTGTAGGTTGCTAAGTAGCCATGTTCCTGCCAGGTGTGCACCGACTCTGCCATCCCCTGCTCCTGGAAGATGGACTGGAGGCCTTTCAGAATGGTCTCACCGTCAGCTGGAGAACAGGGAAGAGAAAGCAAGGTGGTGAGGAAGAAATTTTCGGAAGGAAAGCCAATGAGGCAGTTTGACAACTGAACCTTATGAGAAAATCTGTACAATGGTTGCCAGTGTCACTTATCCCCTTTTGTCATGAGCTATAACCATTCTTCACCGTGCAAGAGAAGGCTTCACACATCAGGTTACACACAAAAGCCTGACCACAAATAACTGTGCCAAGGACACAGAGACAGACATTTGGCCTAACTAGAGATAGCAGAACAAAATATTCAGCCTACCCAATTCTACTTTAGGTTAAATAAACTAATGAGAATACACAGCACTAGAAAGGAGATGCCCATCCACTGTTGATGGGTATTATAAATGACCTAAAAACTTGATTTTCCAGGTGTTTTACAAAAAGGATGTACTGCTTTTATAATTGGGGGAAAAAAAGATAAATTACATGGCATTACTCAGCAATGGTTCAAAATGGTAGAAAATGAACAATTCCATATGAATCACTTGCTGGGTTGTGGTCCCCCCAGACCCCCCACCCCAGTCCAGAAGCCAATCCTCCCGTCTCCCACCCTGCTTCCCACCCCAAAGTGGAGCTCAATGTCGCCAGGTAGGACTATGGTCAAGGTTACAGAAAATGCATTAACTTCTGATCTCTACTTGTCTTCAAGAACATCTAACATTGCAATACTTAGAAGAAAAGCAAAATGCAGTTTGTCTTCCCTAGTTATATCTGCAAAGCAGGCATTCCCGGATAAATGTAAAATGAAGAACCAAGATGTGACCAGAGGAATTACTCTTTACTGTCCCACGAACCCTCTGCAGGCTGGCTCTCCAAGAAGAAAAAAACAACATAGCCTGGAAAGCATCAAAACGAAGCATGCCTGTGACCTGTACAAAGGCAAGAGAAAAAAGATTCACAGCTGACTGCAGTGTGGTTTCCCAGAAAAAGTACATTAGAATTCCTGCCACAAACTAAGTAGCGTGAAAACTGGAACTGGATTTTTTTTTTTTCCGCTATGCATAAAGAGTCTACTTCAGTGACTTTTGGAACTGTGTTCCTAAGACCTTCTTAGTGCACAGAAAGAATGAAGGCCAAAATGGGAGGTTCAGAGGCCAAATTTAACAGTAGATATGTCTTATTCTGGCCTGCAAAGGCTTTTTAAAAGCATGAACTAGTTGCCATTTAAAAATCAGATTTCACCTCTTCCACTATAGTGGATGGAATGATGGTCCCCAAAAAGATATGTCTATATTCTAACCTCCAGAACCTAGGAATGTAACGTTATTCATTATTCGGAAATGGGTCTTTGCAGCTATAATTAAGTTAAGATCTTGAGATGAGAGCACCTGGATTATCCAGGTGGGCCCTAAATCTAATCACAAGTGTCCTTATTAGAGACAGAAGAGGAGAAGACACAGGGGGAAAAAAAAAAAAGGAGCAGGTGCTACGAAGACAGAGGCAGAGACTGGGGCGATGCAGCCAAACAGCAGAAGCTGGAAGAAGAAAGTGTGGCCCTGCCACACCTTGATCTCAGACTTCTGGCCTCCAGAACTGTCAGAGACTCAATCTCTGCTGTTTTAAGCCACCAATCTGTAGTACTTGGTTACAGCAGCTTTAGCAAACTGATACACCCACCAGAAATCCAATGTATTTTCAATTTCGCTGAACAGTGAATGGAGTAGTAAACACGGCAGTAAAACCGTAATTTTTCAATCTTCTGAACAGCCAAATACAGACAGAGCAATTAAGATAGTGCAACCAAAACTCACAGACAACATTTAGAACTAGATGACAGAGTGTACCCCAAACTGGGAGGAGGTAGAAATAAATGGGCCACGACTCTGATACCTCTGTGGTACCAGCAATTGTGTGAGAGAAAGGAGAGAGAAAGCAAAGGGACTCCCCCTCCCCCTGAAAGTCACCAATGGGTGTTCACCCCCCAAGGAAGGGGTTTCCTCCCCTCAAAGCGAGGATGGAGCTGAAACCTGTGGGGAGAGGAGGGGACCTGGGTAGGGCCAGATAGTGAGCGGTGGGGTCAAGCTCTGTGCATGGCCAAAATGAACGAACTGAGGCCACTTCCAGGAAAAAGCCCCACATCAGGGAGAGACTACAACACAAGCCCCTACAAACATGAGCAGCAGCCCAATCAGTCATGAAATTCTCACTCACTCCTAGCAAAACTGCACCTTTGGGAAACTCATTTGGCAGAAAATAATCTAGCTTGCTTTGCTATTCTCAAATTGGTTTCAGGAAATTAAAAGGAAAGGTCTGAATTATATCCCTAGAACTGCAGCGTTTTAGACTGAATTCCACCTCCCGAAAAAAAAGTTCTGATTTCAAACTTGATAAAAATGAACTATCCTTGTTGGGTTTGTGTTTGCCACCGAAGCATGGTGGGTCAGCCCAACCTGGCAGAATTTACCCTGAATATGAAAACCACTATGTAATTATGCAATCCCTCCTTGGCTAGAACACATGTTTTCTGTTTTGAAAGTATATAAAACAAATCATCACTCCTGGTAAACGGCCTCAAGACTGGGTTCTGTCGGCACATTACAAAACAGAACACAAATCCCTCATGCTGGTGAAGGGATAATCCAGGAGGGGCCATGATATGAGTGACTGACCAGGCTGTGCTGTGAAGCCCCTGGGGGGGGCCTGCGGCTGTGCTGGGGCGAACTCCATTCCCTTGGGCCAGGGAGAGGGAGTGAGTGCCTTTGTCCATCCCAGGCAAAGGCCTTGACCACTAGCCAAGCCCAGCATGGCAGCTGCCCCCCAGCCCCCCAACTGGCACAATGAGCAGAAAGGCACCGTGTGGGATAAAGGAAGCCCTTCAACCAGGTTTCAAACTGAAGAAAAAAAAAATTATAAAAAAAAATCCAATTTGAACGGCTAACTTGTTTCTACACTATGGGCTTACTCCCCCCGCCTTCACAGTTCAGTAAAACTAGGCCAAATCAGAACGTATTTCTGGCAGTCAAGTGTTCACTCCCCCACACGCCCAAGTCCATTTGTGTGGCTGCCTGGTCCCTGTGGGCATCTAAGTGGGCCCTGCCAGGAAGATGTCTGCAGGGCATTATGGGGACCATGCCATTTTGCCCACGTGTCCATCTCACTTCATACTCATCTTCCTCCTGATCTGGGGCCTCCTCCATTACCCATGTTACTCCCAGCCCTTGGGAAAGAATTCAGAAAGAGGATCTAGAGCTGAAAACTTCCCAGTATCTGTTTTCCAGAACCATGGTTTTAAAGTGAAAACTGAAAGTCAAAGCTATGAGCTCCACTAGGATGAAAGAGGTGGCTTGCTAAGTCATCTTGATCTCAGGTGCTCAATAAATGTTCTGTGGGCAAATGAAAAATTATTTCACGTGGCTAAATTCATCATCTGTATTACTATACCTCACAGAGTTTCTAGAACATCTAGATCAGTGGTTTTCAATCGTAGCTGCACACTATAATCACCTAGGGAGTTTTTAAAAATTCTGATGCCACACGTTAGACCAATTAAGTAAAAATCTGGGGGTGGGACCCAAGCATCAGTATTTTTAAAAGCTCCCTGGGAAATTCCAATGTTAAGACCCGCTAACACCCAATATAAAAAAGAAAAAGAGGGCTGGCCAGTTAGCTCAGTTGATTAGAGCATGGGGCTGATAACACCAAGGTCCAGGGTTCAATTCCCTGCACTGGCCAGCTGCCGAAAAAAAGAAAAAGAAACCCCCTACCATCTCCATACTAATTACACCAAAGTCACCAAAAAGTTATAGAAAATGTTCAATGAACAGAAGGTCTGAAAAAAGTCCAAACTCTTTACTAACTGAAGCCACAGGTAACAATGACATGCCCCAGAAAATGCTTTGCAATTATTTCAAATTTCAGCTTTCATGCCTGTCTAGTAAAGAACTCATAAAATGACCAAGCAAATCAGACTTGCTTTATTGGTGTTCCTTAACACTGGGGCAGGGTTGATAATGTGGTGTGAAGGACTATCCTGTCTCTCACAGGACTTTGGCAACCCAGCCATGTTCGCCAAATGTCAGTAATGCCCCCACCCCTTTGTCAGAATAAGACCCCACACCCCAACTGCCCCAAGGGTGGATGAGGGGCAATACAATCCCTTGAGAACTACTAGATGCTCTACGTTTCACATGGGTGAAAATGAGCCTGGGGTCAGAGCACAGCCAAATTTGGGAACAAAGGATAGCAATGTCATAAATGCCTACAAATCAGAAGAAAAATTGAAAGTGTAAATCCCAAGGCTAAAAGAGATATAACCACACTGCTTTCAAATAGATATGGTAATCCAAACTAGGCCAACAAAATGTTGTTTGGCAGGTCTTAGAAAATTCACTTCAATGGCCAGGCAAGAATGTCGTATAGTAACTAGTGTATCACTCGGAACCTTCCAAAGTGCTCAAACATAGTGACCTCTCCCAGGGCAAAATGTGTCCTTTGTCCACTGAACACAATGTCCCTGTTTCCAGACCACTGCCTGCTTTGTGTTTGTTCAACAATAAATTAAAATGAATCAACTGGTACAAATTAAATACATCACTACCAAAAGAAGGGAAGGGAAGGGAAGACAGGAAGGGAAAAAAAAAAACAATCAAGGCCTAAGTTTCATCTCCCTGCCTCATTTTCTCCAGAGATCCATTTAGAGACCTCTCTTGGAGAACCTCATTCCTCTGACCATGAGCATCAGCTCCAGATGGCCGAAGCCCAGATCTGTGTATCTAGCTGGAACCTACCTCCCAAGCAACTGCTCCCAGCACAGTTCCAATCACAAGTCTGACGTCAAAACCAGGCCCATGACTTCCCTACTCCTATTGATGGTTATAACACCAGCCACTTATGATCTCCCATGATGGTCCTCCTCCCCCAAGCTTTCCCCACAAATCTCCCACCACAGCCTCTCTACCCCACCCAAACTCACTGGCCAGGACCCTTCTCACATACAGAGCTAACTTTTTTTTTTTTTTGGACCGGTAAGGGGATCGCAACCCTTGGCATGGTGTCGTCCGCAACACGCTCAGCCAGTGAGCGCACCGGCCACCCCTATATAGGATCCGAACCCGCGGCCTCAGCACTACCAGCGCCACACTCTCCTGAGTGAGCCACGGGGCTGGCCCCATAGCTAACTTCTTCAACCATAACCTGGAGACACTACTTTAGAGAGTTCCTATAATGGAATCCAGAACCAATGTTAGTTCCCCCCATCCCTTGCGGGCTCGTACTGCTTTTAAATGACTGATTCGTAGGGTGGGCAGCCCTGTGTGCATAAGAAGATTAGCTGTACCAACCCAACCTTACTAGCCCAGGGAGTCCAGGGAATCATGCTGAATAAAAACACAAGACACCACGCACCCTGGCAAAAAGGCAGGAAAAAGCATACTTCTGGTATACTCTTGGTCCTTCTTCAGCTTTAAGTAGCTAAAATACTCCTTAAGATGAATCCCATTAGAGGCTGCCCTAGGAAATAGGCAATGCTCACAGTCCGGGGGAGGGGGAGGAAAAAAAAAACTCAACTCACTCCACTTGTGACCTAGCCTTGGGGCTTTAAGTTTTTTACAACTTCAAAAACTTCAGCTAAGAAAACTCAGGCCACGGGAACACTGGCTGGTGTGCAGGCTTTATGAAAGCTACACAATCCTGAGGATCTTGTGTACTGACACCCTGCCCCCGTGCAGAGACATCAGACCACCAGCCAAGCTCAGCCCGCCCTGCCACAGGCCGGAGCCTTAGCGTTCTCTGCAAAATGAGGGGGTTGGAACAGAAGATGTGCCTTTGCATTCCTCTCAGTAGCACCTGGCTTATGAAATTAGGAGATGAAATTCTATTCTTGCAAGTTTGGTTTTCATTATGAAGGCTCGAAATTCTATGCCTCCCCACCAAGCCCCTACCCCACAATGCTTTGCCTCCTAGATCTCTCACCCACAAGGGCTCAAGCTGTCTAAGTGCCAACGGGTGGGGATGAGGAAGTGATGAGGCCCAAAGATGAACCACTTACCACCCAGGTGTAAGGGCCCACCCACGATCAGGTCCACACCTTCACTCCCTTTTTCAGGGGTCTGTACTTTCTCCATGGGAATATGGCCCAGAAGCTAGCTGGCAACAGATCGGGTTTGCAGCTCTCTGCGGGGGGAAGTATAAACACAGGCGTCCTTTCCCCAAAATGCCAGATTCTGATGTCAGAGAACCTAAGAGGCAGGCTCAGGTTGTGCATGCTTTCCCTTCATGCGTAAACCAGGTTTCTGTTTTTTCTTGATGGACCCCTAAACCTGCAAGAGGAAGAAAGAGACTGGACTCCAATCCAGTTTGAAGGTATTCAGATAGCTGCTTTAAAAACCTATTCAGATTTTCTAATCTTGACAGTGGTAGTGGTAACATGACTGTATGCATTGATCAAAACTCAGAGAACTGTACACTAAAATTTTTTCTATACAAATTACACCTCAAGTTACCAACACCACCGGCATAATTCCTCTGAAAAGAGTAATAAAACAGCATAAGCATAAGCGCCCCTCAGGACTCCCTCTCACCCAAGTCAGTGTTCGAGAACATCTTTTGATCTCACTTAGAATATGCTAGATTCACCAAAAACATGAAGACTGACAGGCAAGTCCAGATTATCGAAATCAGGGGACTTACAGAAAAAGCCTTCATATTTCACAATAAGAAAATTTTCAATTATACTAAAATGTTTTAACTTTTAATTTTAAAAAAGGGTCTGACCATCAGGAGACCTCTCAGATACTCAGAAGTCTAATGAATGTCCAGGGATTAAAGTGAGTGAAGGTCAAGCACAGGTGGTTCCTTGGCATGCCTTACTTCGACAGCTTGGTTTTATATTCCCAGGCCCAGACCTTTTTACAACAGCTGCACAACAACTAATCTCATCACACAAAATCCAAGCAACAAATGTTAAGAGCACCATGACTTATAATAGCCAAAAAGTAGAAACAACCCAAATGCCCACTAAAGTTATAAATGGATAAGCAGAATGTGGTATATCCATACCACAAACTGTTATTCAGCTATAAAAGGAATGAAGTACTGATACATGCTACACACAACACGGACAGACCTTGAAAACATGATGCTAAGTAAACGAAACCAGTCACAAAACACCACATATTTTGTAAGATTTAGCCAGAAAAGGCGAATCCAGAGAGGAGGGCAGACTAGCAGTTGCCAGGGTGGGAGAAATAGGGGGGAGGGGGGCTAGCAGGGAGGGGGGCTAGGAGGAATGGGGTGATGGTTAAGAGGTACAGGATTTCTTTTTAAGGTGATGAAAATGTTCTAAAATTGATTGCAGTGATGGTATTACAACTCCGCGAATATACTGAAAACTACTGAATTGTACACGTTAAATATGGGAACTGTATGGCATGTGAATCATATCTCAATAAAGCTGTCCCCAAAAAATCCCAAACAAGCTGAGCCTTCAAATTCCCACTTACTCTGAGGTAACCAAGGCAACAGAAAGAAAGTCCCAGAAGTCCTTTCTCCCCTCCTCCCTCTACCACAAGGCATGCGCCAGGCACAGGCTCAGATGCAATGCACACCAGGTAAAGGGGCTGCAAGGGGTGGTCTTCACTACCTGCTCCCTGCCAACACAGAATGGCAAGCGTTCAAGTGGCTGCTGTGTGCAAGCACTGTCCAAGACACTGGAAGTACCTGGCTCCCTCACTGCTTTTCTGCCACTGAAGCACCTAGGCTCAATCACAGCAGCTAAGTAAGGCTGCAAAATACAGAAAGGGACAATGGCGTAAACCACTGGGAGGGCTTATTTTCAGAGCAGTTTCTGATGTTCGCAGAAGAACAACCAAACCAGGAAAAATTACAGAAAAAAATACAGAAAGCAAGGGAAAAAAAAGAAAAAAGAAAAAGGACCTACCGAAGTTGGATTAACAGCAATACAGTTGAATACAACGCCAATACAGAAATAACACTCGAGCTCTTTTCATGCAAACATGCATTAAGGAAAGCCATATGGGAATGTTTATAGAGTACCAGCCACAATAACCATTTCTTAAAACACACAATACACTGAGTTATAGCATGATGTAAATATGTTGTTAATTATTTAACTGCCCTGCCTACCAGTTCCCACTGCAAGGGCGAGCAGTTAAAGGGACATTTCCCATAGACGCATAGGGCCAGACTCCTGTCACCCTCCCCTAAGACCTAGTGGAAAGTAGGCAGGAGTCCATCGCTCTCCTTTAAAATAACGCCAACCTAGGTCCTTCATGAGCCAATCTCCTTAGGAAATTAAAGTAGGGCTTATAAAAAATATAATTTATGACACACACTCCTAACCCCTCTTTGGTTCAGAAACTGAGCACTAATCCAACATTGTACCCTCTCCTTCCTAGTAAGCCCTTCTCCCCACAAGACTAGCAGAGTCTGAAAAGTAGAGACAGACCCCAGGCCTGATTCCTCCCTTGCTGCCTCCCAGGGAGGGCAGCACCTTACTAGGGCTGTCAAGTGACAAACTCTCCTTTCCCCACCCTTCTGACTTTACGCAAAGAGGAGTCTAAACAATATTTAGAAAATAAGGCACAGATGGGGAGATTATGCTAAAGCCTGCCTTTACTGGAGGGAAGGTAGTACAGGTAATTTGCAGCTATGAGACACTGAACCACCAGGCCACCTGACCTCTCTCAGGAGTAATCATTCAAGCAACATAAGGT